AAATTCCAGAATTACAAATATAGGATGTTACATCAACACAATTATCGAATTAGATTCTAATATAACTTTCACTCACCCTAAATTATTTTGATTATCTCTTAAATATAATTATAATCGAAAGTTAATATAAATTAGTTTCTCACAATTTACCATTTTTTTTTGCTACATTTCTTCCATTTCATTTGACGCTGTTTTTAGAGTAATGAATACTTAATATTTATAGAATATAAATATTAATTATAAATAAAATTCAATTTAAAAATTAAAGAATTGCTCATAATATAATAAAAATAGCTAAAAGTTACAACATCCCTATTTGATGCAGTTAATAACTCCACAGAATACAAGATTTATGAAATAGCTAAAAGTTACAACATCCCTATTTGATGCAGTTAATAACTCCACAGAATACAAGATTTATGTTGTTATTAGAGTATTTATGTTGTTAGTAGAGTACACGTAGAGGAGAAGAAACTCTCAATGTTACAACTCCACTATTACAGTTCTCATTGTTAAATATTAATGTTTTCAAATTTGCAAGTCAAAAAACAAAATTTATATTTGAAAATTAAACCTATGAAAATTGAATTCTCCAATATTAAACCTACATATAGAAGAGACTGACGCCAACTATTAATTATTAATAGTCAAGCATACGACACCATTATAAAGTTATTTGGGTTGAAACTTTAATAATATCGTAAGGTCGGTATAGAGTGATTGTTAGTTGTGTCAGAGAACTTTATCACACAACTTTCGATCTTGTTAGAATATTTCATTCAATAACATTGTTGATGAGCTTAATAATCACCAAACTTGTCACATACACACATAGAAAAAATCAAGAAAAAGGCCAACGCTCCTCAATAATATCACTAGCATGCCAACCTTTAGGTACAACTTATGATTCAAAACTCCTTATCATGTAATTCAATTGAATTATATTTTTTATTTTATCCTTTTTCTTTAAACGAAAAGTCACGCCAATTTATTTCACTTAATTTGAGAGAAATTATGTGTAGGAATATGAAAGTCAATGTGAGAGTCTGACTTCTAATAAGTACCATCAGAACACGATTTTCTATTAAAGGCATTCAAAAAGCTCGTTTACTGGTGAATTGATTCTTTTTTTTTTTTTTTTTCTTCAAACGATTGTTACTTCGGTAGTTCGGTTACTTTCAGAGACGACATACAATGAGTATTTGTGTAAAATCGCCACCTTTTCTGACAAATGGGTTTTTCTTTTCTTGATGGATTTCGATATTTAAAGATATCTCACGTGGACGTCCACTTTTGTAGCAAAATTTATTGAAAGTTAACTTTATGTATCAGGAGATTAACTTAGAGCAAATGATCACTTCTTCCAGTCCACTTTGTTGAGGACCTCTGCGGCTATACATTTTATTCGGTGTATTTCAGATTGTGAATGTGCAATATGTTCGTCAAGAAACAAAAAGTAAAGTCATATTGCTCGACACAATATTTAATATTATTTTTCACTTGTTCCTCAAAATAGACGACAATGTCCATCAATTGATTTATTTTTCACTCTTTTAAGTTAGATTAAAACAAATGTGTTATCCAAATGTTACTGTGATTGTAAATGGGTATTACTATTTACCGTTCTCACTTATTTGTGTAATTATAGACTAAATAAATAGTAAAATTTTGATTTTATTTTTCCTATTTACTATTGTAAATCCTCCTAATTTATAAATGCAAAATTTCTAATCTTCCGTGTCAACTTCTGGTGTTCGGTAATTTTATGTGTCAGACTTCTTGTACTTTGTAATCCAATATGTCAAATTCTAATAGTATGGTATATGTCTATTACAACTATTAGATTTATAAAGAAACAACACATATCTATCTCACGACAACTTAAAAACCCAATTCACAATAAAATAAAAATCTCGGGATATCACTCCATCGGATCATTAAATCAAATCAATGACTCCCACAAGTACACACAAATACATTTCATATAAAAAAAATAAATTAATTGAATCAAATCAAATGAATTCCAACAAGACACACATACATACATGCATCTAAAAACACAAATGTCAAAGAACTAGTGGAACACATTTTATAATAGCATGAATCCGGCGGCGGCGGAGACGGCGACAACCGCGGAGACCTTCAAAGCGGAGGCACCTCCGGCCGGCGAGTCGGCTTCGGGGGCGGCGGCGGGAGCATCGCTCGGGGCCAAACCAGCCGGAGCATCTGCAACTGGAGCCTCGGCCTCGGGAGATAGGGCTGGTGGAGATGACGGCTCCTCCTCTGAGGGGGCGGCCGCCGGAGAAGATGCCAAGGGAGTGGCGGCGGCCGGAGCTTGGGAAGTCGGAGCCGCCACCGGATGTGCCTTTGGGGCGGCGGCGGGGGCGGCGGCTGGAGATTGGGCGGCGGCGGCCACCACGGCGAAGACAAGGACGGCGAGGACAAACGCGAGGCGGGCCATTTTATTTTATTTTATTTTTTGGTATTTTTTTTGTTGATTCTCGAGTAAATATATATATGCAGCAAATTCTCTTGTTGTTTTATTTATTTTATTGTAATTTATTGGAGAAAATACTGCAAGACTCAAGAATGAGATTTGAATGGGGTGGTAAAGGTGGTTTTTATAGGGTGGGGATATGGCGGGAAAGGTGGGTGAAGTGTTGTGTTGGGACAAATGTTTGATGGTAGGAATAAAGTTTTGCAATTTTTTTGGGGTGTGAGAGATTAAAGTTGATGTGTTTGTTGGTTGACCAAGTTTATAGATGAATGGGTAATTTTTGGCCACTACTTTTATTAGTGAAGAATATTGGAATCAACATGCAAAAAATGATAATAGTGAAAAGGTTTATTGTTAGTTCAATCCATGCATTGTTTCTAGTTTTGGATAAGAGTTAGCCTTGGTCAAGATCACAAAGTGTTGGCTTAATATGTTTCCCCTATGTTAAAATAGTTTTTTTCAACAATAGCGTCCAGTGAATGTTATTTAGACTAAATACTGCTTAAGAAAAGTGTGTTAATTAAGAGTTGAGAAATAAAATATAAAAATAAAATTAATAAAATTAGGAAGCACGATTTAAGTCATTATAAAACACACAGTATGAGAAAATGGATTCTAGAGTATGTTGTCTTCTAAAGTTATACACGAAAGACCTGAATTAATCCTTTTTAAACTTATTTAATTTTATATTTCGTAGAGATAATCACTTAATTGATCTGACCATTCATGTTTGATTTTCAATTGGATTTAAGTTTTATCCTTAGTTTAAATAAGATAAATTTCCATTGAACAAACAAAAATCCAATTGGATATTTAAGTTTCATTTTCATTCAAGTAAGTTTTATTGTAGATTATTGAAACCTGTTTCTAGATCTCAAGGTAAATAATTTAAGGGTGCCATTGGATTTAATTTTCATTTTCAGTTTAAATTAGNTTGGTACAATAAAGGAGGCCAAAGGCCTGAATGTTGTATTATAACTATTGGCAAAAATAAAAGATCCTGAGAATATCATGCTCGAGCCACGCGCCGAAGCTAGGGGGAGGGGAAGACAAGAACTAGATTCCGATTGGAGAGTCGGCTGCTAAACTTGCTAAATGGTCTGCCGCAAATTTGACTTCTCTATGTACATGTTGTATTCGCGTAATGCTCAATTCTCTTTGGGCCAAGCAACAAATGGCCTTTACTAACGCTCATGGGTTCCAAAATTATTTTCGGTGCTTGATGAAACCCGCTACCCAACTTCCCAGCTCATCACGTAGGATCCCTTTTGCACTACTCAATACGGTGGAACTATCAAAAGCTCCGTCAGTATTCAATTTGATCCACCCAGAATCGGGCAGAGACCAATGAATCAGTCTAATATCATAATGTTTTGATTCATCTCCTACTTTATTAAGGGCCGCAAGAGAACGAATATAAGTATCCACACGATTCAATACCTCCAATCGGCGTGCCTCCAGTTCCACGATCGACAAATTATGATTAAAAAGAGGCTACTTTTAGTTCGTGAAGGATCTCAATCGGAATTTAAACAAATTTCTGTGGACTTTGACTGGGTGAACCCAAATTCGATTGGATTTTTAAGTTTAGTTTCAGCTTATTAAATATGATAAATTTTGGCATTTGTGTATCGAGTTATCTTATCTAATCTTTTGCTTTCAAATCAACTCGATCCAACTAATGCTTTATTTATCTTACTGTTGACTATTTATGGATGATAATATATCTGAAAGGTAAATTTCATACACGACAATTAATGTCCATGCTCCTTATTTATCATGAAACTGAAATCTATCATTATATAAAAAGAATAGTCTTTTTACAAATTTAGAAACTTTTTCCCGCCAAAATCATTAAATATATCCTGATATAGTAATTGTTGGACAAATCTAAATAGGCAAAAAAATCAGCTCAATTTTTTTAGTTAATCAAAACCGTTATTTGACAATAAATATTTGTTTTTCTTTTTCCTATTTTTAGTATAAATCTACACGCTTATCTCTTCTGTTACAAAATCCCATTGCATACGTCTCCTGTGTAAAATTTCATCCCTTATCGATTCAGATTTAAAAAAATAAAATAAAATAGAAACCAATTCATAATTACTACTAGAAATCCATTATCTTTAAAAATAAAAAATAAAATAAAATAGAAACCAATTCATAATTATTACTGAAAATCCATTATCTACTTTAAGAAGCTAATTTTTATCGGTCTAATTATTAATATTTTTACAAATATTATAAGTTAACCATACAAAAAAGTATAATAATAATTTTGAAATGATGTGTAACCAATTTTTTTTTTATATTATCTTATACAAAATAATTTTACATTGTTTGACCCCGAATCTTTAATTTATAATTATTAAGTATTGTTTATCTTCCTCTTTAATTTATAATTATTTTTTTTGCTTCTTTTTTTTAAATAGGATCAATAGTAGTTTCCACTTCGGTCATTGAGTGACTCAAACTCAAGGTCTATTTATAATATTGTTAATTTAATATTGTTTCCGTGCATCGCATGGGATATACACTAGTATATCATAAAACAACAATAAGGAAGTATATCACAGGCCCTAAATTTCTATTAATTGTTTTTTGTTCACGCATTCAATTTGGTACAAGAATCTATTTGAAATAGTCATTATTCTAATATTACATCAAATATATTATATATGTCTGGTCGGTGCCTCTTTTGTACCTATCCTGACAATATATAGTGTGACAAATAATTGTATGGTCATAACATTTAGAACGTGACATACACAAATTATGTACTCATGAATTGGGGAAAATTTTATTACAAGCCCTAACTTTTAGTAATTGTATTAATTTAAGGCCTGAATTTTATACTTTTTCAACAGAAGGCTTATATTTTAGGTTGTTCTCACTTTAAGGCTTATATTTTTAGTTAACTTTTCATTATAAGGCCCAACTAACTTTACCTTTTTCATATAAATATGTAAAACAACTATTATGTGAATAAGAGTATTATTATTATTATTATTATTATTATTATTATTATTATTATTATTATTATTCTTTTGTAATGTATATTTTGCATACTTATAATAAAAAATAATAAATATCTTTAGTAAAATTATATTAATAAAAATTAATTTTAACTTTTTTTTGGAAGCAAAAGTTGATACTATGTCATTGCTTGTTGAAAATTATATATTTTTGTAGATTGCATTTATATATTATTTTTTAGTTTTATTACATATTTATATTATTAATAAAAATAATATTTCCATTACATATTTTTTAATTCACTTATCATTTTTTTAAATTATTCATGATTAAACTTTTGCATAAATATAATTTATATAGTTTCGCTTTATTATTAAGTAAATATTACTAAAGATATTTATTATAAGTATGTAAAATATAAACTAAATAAAAAATTATTTTTGTTCACATAACTATATTATAAAATAAAGTTAATTGGTTCACATATTTATATCAAAATATAAAGTTACTTGGGCCTTACAATGGAAAGTTAACTAAAAAGTGAACCTTAAATTGAGAATAACCTAAAATATAGGTCTTTTATTAAAAAAAATAAAATTCAAGCCTTAAATTGATACAATATCAAAAAGTTGAGCCTTATAATAGAATTTCGCCGTGAATATGGGAACATGTGTCAAGAATATCAATTCCGGTGACTTTGTTAATTATAGAGTTGCATAAAATGCAAATTACTTGTACGGTTGTTTGGAGTCATTTTGGAGAGTGATTTGTTTTCTCCTAAAAACGAAAATGTAATAATAAATTTGTAATCATGTAATATTAGAATTCTTGCTTTTCAGAATAGCAAATCGAGAATAGGATTACTCACTTCAAATTGCGATTTTGGACTGTCAAGTGTATTCAATGTGAAGGGAGGTGAAGGTATGAAATGGCAAAACGCGAACTTGTTGTATGTGTGACTTAATAGCTTTGTAATTCTTTCTAGGTCTTTTACTTTTAGTTTGAGTCCTTGATTTCAATATTGAGCTTTTACAATCCGACGATCTATCGTCTCGAGTCGACATCCAAACCCCTTGGTCTGGCAGCTCAGGTTGTAGATGGCGACGTCACGCCTGACGTCTGCAGCATTTTGTTTTCGCAGCAGCAACGTGAATCGTGCGTGCTGACTTATGATACCAATCGATGTAGAAAAGCGTACGAGTGTGAGAAGATAAAAGATAAGAGATATTCAATATCAAAATACGATGTTTTTATTCATTCATCAACTGGCCTAAGTAGTCCTTTAAATAAGCCTCCTACAATCCTAATAATAACTAATCCACTAAGCAAGCTAATGAATAATTATTCTCCTACCAATTAAATACTAAATATAAATGAATAGAAATAAAATATATCATAAATCAATGATATTAAACAATATAATATCTCTATCATACCCTAAATTGCTCGGTATCATTTTCTCCAAATAATATCGCAAATCCACCATGAGATAATTATTCAATTTCCTCAAATAGTAAGTAATTTTTGACAACTAAAAAAACAAAACTAATATTCAATCGTCTACAAAAAATTCTTAAAAGTTTGACATTCAATGTTCACCTAACTTGGAGCCTTACAACTTTTTGTTTGACAAATTGCAATCAAGGGTTCGAGCATAAGATGAAAATGATTTTAAAGATTTTTCACTTTATTCATAACACACAAAGAAAAATATATATATATATAAAAAAAAAAAGAGAAAGAAAAGAAGAACAGAGCACACCAAAAGTCCAATAAGCTAAGTTGAAAGCAATCAAAGATTTCAACCTCATCTTGAAACTAACATTGCTCACCCACTACCAATAACCCACGGGCCTGTAATTGCTTTGTCAAGCCCACTCTACCAGCCCACCTAACTGGCCCATAAACACGCTACATATTCGTCTATATATATACGGACACCACCGCCTAGCCTACCAACTGTTACTGAAAACCCCTTTCTCTCTCCTCGCCGTTGCCTAGAAGGCTTCCTCTCTCCAACCCATTTTTCGTCTTCCTCTTTTGCTTTCACTTAATTATTTTTACTTATTTGTTGAAATTTCTACATGCGCGTGAACAAAATGGGAAGGCTCAGCTTACAGATTCTCTTCCTAATCTTCGCAAATTCGTTAATGGCAGGTACAGTCAATCGAATTTGTCTACAGTAAATGCTCAATTGATCCGATTAGACTGCAAATTTCAGTAGATTTGGTTGTGCGATTTTGTGCTGCAGGTGTGAATTCGTCCAAATTCACCTTCGTGAACAACTGCCCGTACACAGTCTGGCCGGGCCTCCTGTCGAACGCCGGGATCGCCTCCCTTCCGACGACCGGCTTCTCCCTGAACAGCGGCGAGTCGAGGGGGATCGACGCGCCGGCGGGCTGGGGGGGCCGCATGTGGGGCAGGACCAACTGCACCATGAGCCCCGACGGGAAATTCACATGCGGGACCGGCGATTGTGGCTCCGGGACGGTGGACTGCGGCGGTGCCGGCGCAGCACCACCCGCCACACTCGCGGAATTCACGCTCGACGGCGCCGACGGGGCCGACGGGAAGGACTTCTTCGACGTGAGCCTCGTCGACGGGTACAACCTGCCGATGCTGGTGGTGCCGCAGGGGGGTTCGGGGGCTAACTGCACGAGCACGGGATGCGCTGCGGACCTGACCGGCGGCGCGTGCCCGGCGGATCTGCGCGTGGAGGGCGGCGTCGCGTGCATGAGCGCGTGCGATCGGTTCGGGAGGGAGGAGTACTGCTGCAGCGGCGCGTACGACAGTCCCGCCATCTGCAAGCCGTCGGAGTACTCGAAGGCGTTCAAGCGCGCGTGCCCTAGCGCGTACAGCTACGCGTTCGACGACGCGTCCAGTACCTTCACATGTACCGGGGCCGACTACACCATAACGTTCTGCCCGGCGCCGAATACGAGGTAATTTTACCGTTATGCCCATGTCCTATCCTGTCCTTTTTGAATGGGTAATTTCGTCCTTTTACTGACTTATTTAAGGCATGTTTGCCTGAAATGGTTATAGAGCTTTTCCGCAAGTACATATATAGGAAAATAGGATATAAAAGTTACAAAAAAATATAAAAAAACAGGTTTTTATCAAGCTTTGGAGCTCTAGCCTTTGACAAAAGCCGTGCTCAGTAGATCGTTTCATCTAATAATAGCTTCAGCTATGACACTATTACCCATAGGAAAATCGTTGTTCTGCTTTAGCGCTTTATTAAATATTTTGACCAAAAATTATAATTATGATAGCGCATAGCATTAATAAATATTCTAATCAGAAATTTACATAATTCCGTTGGCTGGATTATGTAAGATAGTCAATTAAGAACGCCTAATTTTGAAAAATTTGGCCATACCCATTTTTGTCGTCCGACGAACTAGCGAGTTCTTTAGATTTGAGTATCGCTTTAAAGATTGCAAATTTCAGCCTTGTGGTATGGGGATGATATAATATTTGGTGATGTTGACACTTGATCAAAAGGATCAACCTTTTAGACATTAAATATTATTTTAATTGACAATGATCACATTTATTTAATTATTTACTAATAAAATTTGCAATTATTTTTAATTGAAAAAAAAAATAATCTGCCTTCATCAGGTGTGTTTCACTGAAAATTGTCTTAACTTGAAGGGTCAAATTTACTGTTTAGTTGATCATCATATCATCGCCTAATTTAATAATCTCTTTTTAATAATTTACAGCAAAAAATCGTCTGGAGTGCCGATCCCAGGATCCGGAGGCGGTGACAGTAGCAGTAATTTACCGTTCGACGGCAACATGGTCTATGAGGGCGCGTACGAAACAAGCTCGGCATCGATTCCCACGCGCGCGCGTGTGCTAGCGGGAGCTATCTCCTTCACGGCGGCTGCGTGGCTGTTGGGCCTTCACCGTCTCTTCTGAACCGTTTTCGTCTTTCATGGGTCCCAGCTAATACTGTTGGATGTCTGGGTGGCCCATCGGGCCTCCCTCTTGTGGGCTTCCTTGTGGGTATTCGCGTGGAGCACGTTTAAAAAATGGCCCATGTCATCATGGGCATAGCCATCAACATGACAGCCCAATTTAGTTAAAGAAGGGGGAAAGGATGAGGAGAAAAATAGTGTATTAGCCTTTTGTTGTGTTTTCCTTCTATAAACTTGAGGATTAGTGGTAGGAGATAAGAGAGCAAAAACACACCATCACCACAGATCTTATTTATTTTTTAGATTTTATTAATATATTTTCTAGTAAGATTTGGGGGTGTGAAGATTGTGATTGGTTTAGTTGGGTTACGACTTACGAGAGCATATATTGTATCAATTTTATGAGATGAACAATTAATAGGAGTAATAATCTATCATCACTTAGTGGTGGTCCTCATGGTGTATTATTGATTGTACAATAAAATGGTGGAAATAAATGGCTGGTTGCAATCGAACTTTTAGAGCAATAAATGGTTTATATGATTGAAATACTAATGCAAGTGGTTTGGCTTGTGGTATGCGAGATACTATAATTAAAATGAGTGGATAATAAAATTAATGAATACTCCTCAACTACCTGCATCACAATTAGTTCTTTTGGGGAAACGTTGTAAATAGTTTAGTTTCTGGAAAAGACATTGGGAATAGTTCTTTTGGGGAAAAGTTGTAAATAGTTTTAGTTTCTGGAAAAGACATTGGGAAAATAGACCGCTCTAAAAAAGTAATCATCCTTAAAATGGAATTTCTAAAAAATGAATTTATCCTCAATTTAATCTTGATTTAGCACAAAAATTTGAATTAATTGTTTAAATGGAATTTTGTATACCAAATTTCATTTGAGAATTATTTCCATCAAATTAATTAATTTGTCTAACTGATAAGATAGGGACTATTATGAGATGTGGAGCGATTAGGGATAGTGACTAGTGAAATCAAAGTTGGTAGAGTTGAATAGAGGAAAAACCAAAATAACTGGTTTACATTTGTTCGATACAATTCAATTGGAGGATAGAGAGAAGGCCCAATAATGCGAATGAATCGAGCCAGAGAAGGTTGCACGTCTAATCATCGACAAGAATTTTACGGTCGGCAAGCCTACGTATATAGTGACAATTAACACAGTGCACCCAACCAAAAAAAAAAAGGAGAAGGTTAGAGAGAAGGAAAAAACTCTCTCCCGTGGAACCCCTCGGCGCCTTCTTCTTTGAGCAACAATCTATTGTTTTCAATTGATTTCTTCACTTGTATTCTTGAACTAATACTTCTACTATGAGTTGAGCTTAGCTTCAAGAGGCAGCCCGTCACTACATTAAACTCATACTTAATTTCATGGGCAAATCAAAGAAGAAGCTCCAATACCGGAAATTGACGGAGGAAGAGTGCTCCGGTCACTCCTATGAACATGATGACTTCTCCCAAGAGGACTCGGAAGAAGAGCAAGAAGCCATGATTGAAAGAAAAGCTTCATCTCCAATAACCATGGGTGCCATAAATGATGGGAAAGAGGTAAGGCCGGCAAGCTCTAGCACTTCCTTACCTATCAATGATATTGGGTTAGCTGAGGATGACAATGGAGGGGAACAACAAGTACAAGAGAAGCCTACTACACAAACCAAAAAAGGCGAACACAAGGTGCTCAACAAAATGACACAAAAGAATCCCGACACACTAAAGAGGCCATACTCGGCCCTCTTTGCCGACAACCGTAAGGCCTCTCTTGGCCTTAAATTGGACTACATACCGCCGGACAACGGGGTGGACCTAGACGAAGAAGACCTATTGGACTTAACGAGTGCATGGGGCTTTTGCCTTGTCGGGTACTTTACTCATAGGCACCCTGGCAAAGAGGCATTGTTGAAGCAATGTAACTCATGGAAAGTTCGATACGAATACATTCCAACGTCAATGGGTGGATTGTTTTCAAGTTCAAAAACGAAGAAGATAGAGAGAAGGTACTTCATGGAGGGCCCTACACTATTTATGGTCGAGGGCTCATCCTTAAAGTACTCCCTAATTAGTTCCAATTCGGGGAAGACGACATCAAAACCGTTCCCGTTTGGATCAATCTCCCCCTCCTACCTGGGGAATGTTGGAGCACTAAATCACTTAGCAAGATTGCCTCCTACATCGGCAAACCTATCACTACCGATAAGCTCACAGCAACCCGAGCTAGACACAACTATGCCCGGGTTTTGGTTGAACTTGACCTCTCAAAAGATAGAGTCCTTAGCGTCCCCATATCCTCCAAAGGGGAGTTCCTATTTGAGCAAAAGGTGGAATACGAGTATGTCCCACATTATTGCAATTTTTGCAAATTCATAGGACATTCCACCACCAATTGCGGGAAATACAAAGCCCACCTTGAGAAAAAAGCGGAGGGCAAGAAAACGACCGGGGAAGGTGAACCTGTGGTGACTACCAAGAAAGCGGTAGAACACCAAGCAAAGGAACACCAACCTAAGGGAATCAAGAAAATGAAAGGGGATGAATCCTTGATGACCACCAAGATACCGGTAGAACACCAACCAAAAGAAACCGAACAACCCAACGTAGGAGGTGACAAGGCTAAACCCAAGGAGAGGGTTGATATGGAGGAAAAACAAAAGAAAGGGGATGAACCAAACGAAGAGCATGAGGAGTATGTAAAAAGGAAAGAGGCGGTGACCATTACTTCGAAAAACTCTTTCTCCTCCTTCCGAACCATTACCGCTCCTATGGATAATGAGGACGACGACACCTTCCAAGTAGTAGGTAAGCGCAACAAGATACTCACTCGAAGTAGAGCCGCGAGCCAATCCACCGCAACTTCAGGCCAACAATCCAAATTGAGAGGCAAACCGGGTGGGAAAAATGAAGGGGGTAAGGGAACTATTGTGAAGAAAGGGGGTCACCCTTCCTCTTCTCAATGATTATCGCCTCATGGAACATTAGGGGCTTTAATGGGCCCCTAAAGCAAGATGAGGTGACCAACCTCATCCGTAGAAATAACATAGATATTTTGGGTCTTTTGAAAACAAAAACCGATGCTAAGCGGCTAGCTCTCTTTGTGGATAGAAGATTTCCGGGTTGGAAATTTTGTGAGAATTTTGATGTTGTTGACCGTGGGCGTATAGCACTACTATGTAACCCCGCGAAGGTCGACATCATGGTGGAGGTCACCTTGCCTCAAGTCATATTTGCGAAGGTCCATTGTAAGGTTAGCAATCACTCGTTTATTGCTAGCCTCATATACGGACTCCACACGAGAGGAGATCGGAAATTGTTATGGAATGACCGTAGGGCTGCTCGGGGGAGGATCTCCTTGCCTTGGATGCTCCTTGAGGATTTCAATGCCATTCTAAAACCGGAAGAGAGAATTAGGGGCGCGGGGGTCACCAACCGGGACACCAGTGATCTGATAGAAGTTTGTGATGATTTAGGGTTGTAGGATGTACCCTCAAGCGGTTTTTACCACACTTGGAACAATAACCATGTTTGGTCGAAACTTGATAGAGCTATGGTGGATACTCAATGGGAGAATGCCGATCTATTTGCGCATGCGACTTTCCTTGCACCGGGTATTTCTGATCACTCTCTGTGTTTAGTAACTACCTTTGAGGTGCGAAGCACTAGTGGAACACCATGGAGATTCTTTAATATGTGGACGTCCCATGAGAAGTTTTTGCCAAGTGTTTAAGAGACTTGGAATGAAGGTGGAGGGGGCTCGAGGCAATTCCGCCTTGCCTCAAAATTAAAGAACCTTAAGAGCTCCCTTAAGGTTCTTAATGAGGAGGCCTTCTCGCACATCTCCTTTCGGGACAAAGGAGCGAAGGACGCCCTCAAGAGTGCTCAACAAGTGCTTCACGATCAACCTGATGACCCCGAAACCAAGGCCAGGATGGCCTCGCTTAGACTCGAAGCTCTTAAGTTGGCCAAAGCGGAGAAGCACTTCTACCAACAAAAGGCCAAATGCAACTTTCAAATCAAAGGAGATAAGTGCACCAAGTTCTATCATGGCTTGGTCAAAAAACGATCAAAACGAAATTTCATTGCCTCGATTAATCGGGAAGATGGCACCGTCACCGAATCCACGGAAGAAGTCGCAAAAGAGTTTATCCATTACTATGAGTCTCTCTTGGGAATCGAAGTTGAAACGAAGGATGTTGACCCACTCATTCTTCGTTCGGAACCGTGTGTTAGGGATGAAGACTGTAGAGCTCTTATTGCCCCGATCACCGAGGAAGAGATCAAGGACACACTTAGAGACATTGATGGTGGTAAGTCCCCGGGACCTGATGGCTATACCTCAACTTTCTTTTTGAAGAGTTGGTCCATCGTTGGGGCCGATGTAGTGGCGGCTATCCAAGAGTTCTTTCGATCCGGCCTACTTCTCAAGCAATGGAACCATACGGCCCTCACGCTTGCCGCCAAATCCTCCCACTCTTCGCAAGTCACTGACTTTAGGCCTATTGCGTGTTGGAACACGATTTATAAGATAAGCTCTAAAATCCTAGCTAATCGTGTTAGAGGTGTCCTTGACTCTATCATTGATGAGGCTCAAGCTGCCTTTGTGAAAGGGAGGAGCATCACGGACAACATTCACCTCATGCAACAATTGTTGCGTTTCTACTCGAGGAAACGGGTATCCCCGAGGTGTATTATAAAAATCGATCTCCGCAAAGCGTTCGACTCAATTTCTTGGTCGTTTTTGAAGCAAGTGCTCGATGGTCTTGGCTTCCCTCTGGACTTTACGAGATGGGTCTTGGAGTGCGTCACAACTCTTTCCTACTCTCTCTCTATTAATGGGAGCCTCAAAGGACACTCCAAAGGAGCACGTGGGTTAAGGCAAGGTGACCCCCTATCACCTTTTCTTTTTGTGATTTGTATGGAGTACCTCTCTCGGCTGATCAAGAGCAATACGGCGGTCGGCACGAACTTCAAATACCATCAGATGTGCGAGAATTTAAAAATCTCGCACCTTGTCTTCGCTGACGACCTTATGCTTCTTTCTCGTGGTGGCCCTCATTCAATCCAAATTCTCATGGATTGTCTTAAGGACTTCGGAGCTAAGTCGGGGCTTGAAATGAATGTGCTAAAATCTAATATTTATCTGGCTGGGGTCAGGGATGATATTTGGGCCACAATCCTTCACGACACCAACTTGTGACACGGCCCAATGCCCTTTCGGTACCTCGGCGTCCCTCTCTCTGCGGACCGAATTACCGGAAGGCTCTTTGATGATATGATTCCGCAAATCGAAGGACAACTTAGAAGGTGGAATGGGCATACTCTTTCCTACGCTGGAAGATTGAAACTCTTACGCTCGGTAATACAAGGCATACTGTGCTTCTGGATGGGGATTTTCTTCTTGCCCGGCATAGTTCGTACAAAAATCACCCAACTATGTCGAAGGTTCCTTTGGGGATCGAAGAGTGCTCCCGTGGCTTGGGATAGTTTATGCTTGCCGCGGTTGGAAGGTGGCT